GCTTTGAGCCAGCGTAGATATCTTATTGAAAGAGCAACGCTACATTCAATCATTAAGTTCTTTTATACATTAATTTTTTTAAAATCTTACTAAAGATTGTTTTAATGAAGCTTCTTTTTCGGAATGAAAACTTGACATTTTACTCATTGAACTAGTAGCAACCTAATAGGGTACTACGTCATGATTGAGATCGGTTACCAAAACTAGGAGTCGCTTAGTTTCGAGGTGTTTAAATTTGAGATTCACTCAGGTGTACCACTTATTGCTAAAGAGCGCCTAAAGCAAATCATTTCAAGGACAGTACTATGATTAAAACAAGCACAGCTGCGATTACTGCCAGAATAACTAAAACGATACACAACTTGTTGCGCGACTTGGCCTGGTACCTCTTCGCCTGAATAAGCTGCTCATTTGCCTGTTCAGCATGTCCGCGTGTTCGCTCTACGTTCGCTTCAATGTCATCAATGACTTCGCCCTGCTCGTGCACCATATCTGCAACATCACGCATGATGTCATTTATCATCAACATGTCTCGCTCCAGTTGATTTATTCTCTGCTCTCTTTCGGCAATCAGAGCAGAATCGACTTCCACTGATTGTGCCCTCTCTTGTAATTGCGCGTACACTTGTACCGACACTTCGTTGTTCGCCTCGTCTCTAGTCATTTCGTATAAATTTCCATGACCGTCCGATGCAGCCATGTTCAGCGTCATTTTAAGAGTGCTAAAACGAGCAGAATATTTTCATTTCCACTATTCAATTACAAACAAATAAAAACTGCCAATAATTCACTTAAACTCATGTTATACACAGAGGCAACGCTTCGCACCTTTAACGATACACAATAAAGCTCCAAAAATCCAAGATAACGCCTCCCAAACTTGAATAAATTTTGTTGAAAAAATCGTACGCTAAAAATCAAGATCATTTTTGCAAAATATTAAATAAAAATGTAAAATATAAATGTTAAATAAAAAAACTGTGATACAAAAATCCCATAGTACTTGAAAATTTTTAATTAAATCTTGCAAACAAACAATCTGCATATCCAACAAGAAAAAAAAAATTCAAAAACATGAATCCAAAAATTATAAACAATTTCCACAGAAAAGAACTTGCCGAAAAGAACTTGCCGAAAAGAACTTGCCAAAAATCTGAAAAAAACTCTAAAAATCTATGAAAGCAACCCAATTACATCAAGAATTATAAATATTCTTCGCAACGGTAGAAGAGCTAGATCACAACAAAGAAAAAACAAGTAAAAAAACCGCGAAGAAAGGAAACAAAAAACGACGAAACATTTTTTGTTCAAAAACTTCAGCCATAAAAAAAATAAGAAGCCATGTATCCGAAAAAAAATTGAAAATTTTTTGCAAAAAAATTCCAGTTGAAAAATTCAAAAAAAAGTTTCATTTCTAACAGAAAATTTGGGCGCCTAAAAAAACCAGAACACCAAGAACTATATTTACCCTCATACAAATGAAGAAAAAAATACTTGAAAAACGTATCAAAAAATACAGAATTAATTAACCGGCAAAAAATACAGAACTAAGTAAGCCGACAAAAATTGCGTCGAATTCAATAAAGCCTTCAAAAAAATTACATCTGAAAAAATTTTCAGCAGTGAAACAAATATCAACAGCTGTTGAATTACAGCTGTTATACGTGGAATATCGGTAGAAATGGAGATGCATTTGGAGATGACCACAAACTTCAGTCATCCTCTGCACAAAGTTGTTTATGGGAAAAAAAGTCTAGTACCCGATTGTAATAACCTTGCTTATCGCTAAAGTAAAAAAGCGACAAGCACCACATTTCGCCACTACTACTCTCCAAAGTTAGTTTGGACATATAATTGACATAGAAGCGAGGAGATGCTGAGCTTTGCAACGTTTGCGATACAAAAATTTCCGAAAATCAGGGATTCGACCCTCTGCCGACCCAAAAGTTCCCCCCTTTGGTAATATTTTAAGACCTTCATTTTTGGCTGACCGATGCTTAAATTTTTCTAAAGACGCCAAACGTATAGTAATTTTGAGTAACGCGCCAAACGTAATGCTATTTTATCCTCAATACCAGGGTGGGGGACTTTGTTTTAAACAGTTTAAAACAAAGGCTTAAAAAAACGGTTTGAAACAGCGGGAGAAAAACACATTTGAAACAATTTGATTGAAATACACAATTAAAGCCGTTTTTCGGCTAATGACGCAATAAAGCTAAAGTTATGTTGCAATAGTGCTCCAAGTTTCACACCTCACTTTTATCGCCTGTTGTTTTGACGACAACTAACGACCCTGTCATAGGCATTTCTTTTAAGCTCGACGGCAAGTGTTACTTGATGAACACGTTCAATACAGTCGGAGAGTCCCATTCAGCGTCCTATTTACTGAAAATGGCAAGTTACAAAGTATCTTGGTTACGAACAACCTTACTGTAGGTACCTGTTCGCAGAAAGTTACCAAACGGTTTCGCCCACAGCGTGGTGGTCAAGCGGTATTCATCTCGGGTTTGACGAAGAGTTAGTCAACCTGGCTAAAGCCCTTGTTTACGCCATAGGGTCGAGTGGTGGAGTAGAGCGCCAGTTTTCAACCCTTGGGATGACTTACGGATCTTTGAGAAATCAACTGGACGTCGAAAAAGCGGGGAAAATGACTTTCTTGTAGAAACAATTCAACGTGTTTTTTTTTCGTAAAAAATATGTTTTAATGTATAATTGGATAAAAAACGTTTAAAACTCCCACCCTGCTCAATACTTTTCTTAAGTGCCTATAAACGCCTTTTATGGCCAGTTTCTTCTGCGCAGCAATTTTTGCCAAAATTGGGTCTTCATAGTGATTTTCACGGGACAGCTCAGAAACTCAATTTAGATGATCTAAGAAAGGTCGACAAAATTTCTTTCTTTCATTGCGTCCTTACAAAAGGTGAAGCGAGGTTTTCTATTAATTGCAATACAACGTAAGGGTAGCTTGCAAGCATGCGAATTAAAAATGAGACAGAAAAAAAACTAAATTTCAAGAACACAGTCGAGAAACAGAACTAAAAACTTAAAATAAACGTTTAGTAGTTACTGAGGGGCCACTAAGCCGACAATACGTGAAAGCTCATGGAGTCAAAAACACAGAATGATATCAAAAATTGTTGTTTTTTTTTGTTAAAAAAATGAGCGATTACGTTTTCAAACTTTCTGCCTTACCTTCCGCTAAATAGGCGGAATCAATCAGTCATTACGCGGAACTAAAACTTGGATTAATTTCAATGGAAGATCACCTTCGATTTCGAACTCTGTGAAAAAACGTTTTCAACTCTTTTTCGACTCCGTGAACGCTCATGGATTCAAATACAAAAATTGACATCATAAGTAGTTTTTTTTTTGTTAAAAAAAATTAGCGTTTTTGTTTTCAAACGCTCTACCTTATTTTCCGCTAAATAGGCGGAATCAGTGATTAGGCGGAACTAAAACTTGGATTGATTTCGATGGAATTCTGAGAAAAACTCTCTCAGCAAATCCGAAGACAATTTCGAGATCTTCTCAGCAAAAACGATGTTCACAACTCAAGTAATGATGCTTCCAGACATAGATGGCACTGTGACGATGCTAGAAAGAAGAATTCAATTATTCAGTCGTTCTTAGCAAGTTTCCCTCATGTGATAGGAGTTCCCGATTGGAGAAAACGCTTACGAAACGGTCTATCTTAACTCAACAGCAAACGCTTCCATCACATGTTGCTTTCTACATTCCAAAAAGGATGCATACACTTCGAACTTTAACACTATTCCTGAAAATCGATTCCCTACATCGTTTCGATGAGAGCATCAGAAAAACGTTGCAGTTGATTTTCAATGTTGAGATTGATGATTCAAGATGGGAGCTTTTAAAGTTGCCTTGCAAACTAGGGTAAGTGGCCATTGTTCAGGTCCCGACCCAAGCTATTGCCGCATATGCGTCATCCATATTCGCAACCCTAGATATCTGCTGCAACATCTATGCGAGTGAAATGACAACAGAATGTCTAATCGAATCTATCATACAAAAATGGGCGTAGCCTCTTTATGCAGGAGAGCTTCCCACAACGTGTTCTATCAGTTGAACCCAAAATCTCAGATTCGCACGGGCAGTTTTAGAAGAAATCGTACAAAATCCAAAACTTTGGGTCAAAAAATTTCCCCCCACACACTTTTTCGAAACCTGTAGAAAGTGAGGTAAGATAAAAAGAGACTAGGGAATTAAGCAGACACATAGGGTTGGTCGGACTTCCCACTGGTACTTCTTTTTTGAAAATCGATAGATTAGTTTTTGAGATAAACGAGAATTTTCCAAAGCGTCTCAAATCATAAAAATAAAAAACCCGATCTCAACGGCATTTACATAATACCTGTCTTTATCAAACAGGAATTGAGCACTGATACACTACGTTTTATATTAATCTTTGGTAAAAGTGCGACGCAAGCTACCGGCGACGACAGAGCGACAGTTTTCACAAGACCGACTCGGCATTGCTGTACCGCGTGGCACAGCTGCGTACCTGCGCGAAACTCTACCTGTTGAAGTTGACGACCCGGTTGTTGCCGACTTTCGGAGAAAACCGAGATTGTATATCACCTGCTTTTTAAATAGCATTTAAAATGATGTTTTTATACAAACGCGGTGCTACTTTATATTCCAACTTTCTGTGTTTTTGATCTAATTGTATCGAATCCGCGCTTAACGAAAACTATTCTGCATAGTCTCTTGAGATCATTATTCAGTTGTTTCATAACACTTTTGATTGAAATGCCATAAATTAGAACTCCATATTGAATACTAGGTAGCTCAAATGCTTCGTATACACGTATTAACTGTTTCTTTTTAACGCTTTTCTTTTTTGATAGAATAAATACGTGATTAAGAAAACTCAAATTAATGTCTATTGTTATTACTAAGTACCTAAACGATTTCCAATATTCAATATCACTTTGATTAATTCGCGCTTCGATAGCAACTTTCTTTTTTGATTTTTTTGAAATTCATTGACTTTAATTCATTGATTTTTGAAATTCGCTCAGTTTAGTGTAGCGCTGTTTGATGCGTTTGAGCTAATGAATCATGTAATAGTGACTCATAAAAAAAAGCTGTCAGCATAAAGAAAAGTTCGAGTATTTTGTTGACTATCATAGCAACGTTTCGAGTGGTCACCATTAGGCCAACACGGGTGTTACGAGAAAATAGTCACCTCTTCGGTTTCAGAGAATCACAACGAAAAAGAAATTAAATTGAAAATTTAGAGGCAATATATTTTACTTGGAATACAAAAAGCCTATAATTTCCACTATTCAGAAAATCCGGAAAAACTCAATATGGCATATCTTATCAATTTGCTTTAACAATAGTTGTGCTAAAAATGACTCGAGAAATTTTCACTATCGCAGATTTAGAAAGATCTGCGTTCATGTATAAAAAAAACCTATATTTCATGGCTTTTATAATACAGAGCACTCAAAATCAAAATTTTGTCTAGTGAAATAAAATTATTGTAGAAGCGCGTAAATCGCTCCCAGATTCTAAGAGTTCTTTTTGGCTCTGATTTTGTTCTAAGCAATCTGTTTCTCCTATTTTTGTCATCTAAATTAACCAAGATCAGCCATAGAGCATTTAGAGCATTAGCCATAGTTTTTTTAAAATTGTGTACTTTTTACGTTCAAATATAGAGCAAGTACCATTGTTGAAACTTATCGCTTATATTTTACGAAAGTTTCACTTGTGAAAAAGTATTTTGTTGAAGTGATTTTTTCGTGTCTGTAAAATTTATGCCGGTTAGTTTTTTTTTGTTGTTCCAATCATTTGAAAAATGGGGAGGAACTTTGTATTCAGGCGTGTTTTAGTTTTTTCCACGCAAATTCAGGTACTACAAATAATCATCGGACTGGTTTGAGTGATATATTATATAAAAACCCTTAGTCGTGAATGAAACCACATTTAAAATTTCCCCCATGTCGAGAAAAACTGGTTTAAAATTTCGAATTTTAGTCTAATTTCGGCCACTTGCACAGTAACCAGCTATCCTTGTTTTTAATTGTGTCTGAATTCACATTCATCAGATACTTGAACAAGAAAACGTCTATGCCCGATTACAATAGCTGTCCTTCCCACACTAGTGAAAACTGAAATTTCCAAAAAAGAAAAAAAATCTATTAATTACCACAAAAAATTAAAGAATATCTCCGAAAGACAGAGGAATATTATGAAACTAACCTATTCACATAAATCTAAATATATTACGCTTTTAACTAAAAAGTTCTTGCTGTGGAAACAATTTTTTTTCTTTTTAAAATAAGAAAATATGCTGTTGCTCGAAATCCGATTGATAAATAAAGTTTCCAGCTAAGGTTTTCCGGGATTGACTTCAGCGCCTTTACTGTCCCTAGGATGGGCGGCACCCTACAGTACCAGACGGTTGCCGTACTCTTGCACATCTCAAAGGTAATAACATCAAAACTCAACAACGGTCTGCACAGTAATTAAATAAATAACGTTTTGCTCGTTAATAATATCAAACATCCATTAACACCTTCCAGCTAGTATATCAGCGTTAAAAATAATCTAAATTTTACCTGATAACTTTTTTCTGGATGTTAGCATTATTCTCACATGCTTGTTTGAAATCATTTGACAATCTGTCAGCCAAAATAACTTTGCTGCGCTCGCTAGAAAACTTTCTTTCAACGTCTATTAGCATTCTTTTGGTGTCTTTGATAACAAGATTTGTCTGGGAATTTAGGTTTCTGAGTTCATCTCTGAAGTTCGCTGTATCTCTGGCCGTGCCGATGGACGACATACTTTTATTAAGTTTATTCGACGCGTTGTTTATTTGCTTGATATGACTTTTAATGAGATTAATCATGTCTTCGAAGTCTTTGTCCGTTGTCCCGGAGGACTTAACTCCGAGGGTAGATCCGTAAGACATAGTCACTCTGAAAACAAAACAGAAGCTTACTGGTCTAGACAAGGCTCTTAATAGTCCATCACTTTGTTGTAAATGAGATCTGTGAAGCTTTTTTCATTTTTTTTTTATATATTATTATTTTTTTTAAACTATAATCGGGGCGAGACTGTCATAGTAAACGAGGTTACAGTCAGTAGTGCCTTCATCAGATTAACCAGTCAAAATCCTCGGATTTTTCTAGATAGGGAAGAGTAACGTACAATGTGGATAGAAGTAAAGAGAGTCAGATGGTTGGGAATCAAGCCAACCAGATTTTTTTTTTCTTAAAGGTAATCAGAAGGTCAAAAGTATCATAGTGACCGAGGTTACAGTCAGGAGTCCCTTCATCACGTATTGCAGTCAAAATCCTTGTAGGAACTTTCTAGATATGGAAGTGATAATGATAAAGGAAGACGACAAGTGTTGATGTTGTAACATTCGCCCGGAAGTACATATCGACGGAAAATAAAGCTAAGCTATAAAACGACTGGCCAGCGTTTAAACTAAGCTCTACATGCTTTTCATCGTCTCTACCAAGGTCAGTTCTTTTGGTGGTCTTTCTAACATCGAGTCGACAAAAACGTTACTGCTTTCGGCTTGGGTCAAAACACTCAAATTAACTTAATTACATGCAAAATTAGTGAGCTCATGGCTGGGTCTCAGTATCTCCAGACCACGAGGTCACTCCTAAAAACAGGGCTACTACTACTTATTATATTACTATTGTTTTTGTTCAGTAGATAAAAATCATCTTCTCCATCGAAGATGGATCAACCCTTTCCCTTAACCCCTAGCTTCTCATCGTCAGAAAGTGAACTCAGATGTTAATTAAATCAGGACATAATAGGGAAGCTAAAATTTTGTATAAAATGATTTAAGTTCAAGTCCCGAGACCCCTCCGGATTCTTGAATCCGGGTAAACAACACCCTTATCTCCTCTCCGGAATGCTGGTTTCTACCCTTCACCGTTGTTGTGAATGGTCTTGCAACGATTGTAGCGACACAATCGTTGCAACTCGGAGCGGTCTCTGCTAACTTTGCTGTTCGCTCAATTCTTGTTTTTGTTTTTTATCGCGATTATCGTTGTTGTCACCGTCGCAACTATCGTTGTTCTTGTTTATTTTGGATGTCTTCCAAAATGGCCGATTTTGACGTTTCTCAGAATTATGACGTCATCGCTCGAAATTTTAAAAAGTCAAAATACCAAAATATTCTAGCCTTCACGATTCGTTCAATCGTCCGAATAACACCGTTAATCCTCTAAAACTGCTAATTCGGAAGGTTAGCTGCTAATAATCCGAAATTGCATTTTCGACCATTCTGGTCGAATGTCACATACTCCCCACAGCCGATCAATGTCCCAAATGAATCTCGTAATGTTCGTAAAAATGGTGCAGTGCCATCGAACAGAATTTACAAAATGCAATAAGTCACTTTTATCCACGTCAAATCGACTCACTGCAGAATATAAATGGCATCATACTACACTACTATAGCCTTCCAAATTATTTCACGTATCTACACTTTGAGGATATGACCTAAGATAAAACCTTTTTTCTGACTTCCAACGTCAATGCCCTGATTTAAAACTTTTTCTCCTAGGTTTTAAAAAGTGTAAGTTTGCTGGACAATCCTGCCAACCAACAAGCTAAAATTATCCTACTATGCTTCTTCCCTTCGGAAATTTTAATTGTTATTGGTCCTGAATATTAAAACTAAGGAACTCTGTGGTTAGAAAGAACAATGAAACAATCACCCTCTTCAAGATATTACCCAAGCCTTTCATGTCACCACAAAGTGATCAGTTGTCCTAGTTGATTAAAAACAATCATGCAGGCTAGAATATGTAAAAATAATCTTCACTCAAGCCTTTCTAAATAAATAGTAAGCGTCTCTAAAGCCACTAACTAAAGTCAAAATACAAATTTACAAATGCAACAAAATCTTCATTGTTCAAAACTGAATTAAAATGTTTTCTTTCAATTTCAATTAGAACTTGGTTGCTTAGTTTCTCACTTGAGTTTTTTGTCATACATATAAAACAATTCTGAGTTTTAACTTCTTCTCTTTCGTCACTTCTTTGTTTCTTCTTTTTTCGTCTTTTAGAAGTTCTAAAACTTCTAAATTCTTCTAATTTCGTTTATTTTTGCATCTTGTTCTTCGGCTATTTGTCAATGCTCCATCTCCTCCTCAAGCGACATTGACTCTGCACTTTGAGTTTCTGTGTCTTGTAACACATCGGTAGCTATTCTGACGCTGTTGGAAGCAGTCCTCCAACACTTCTGCTCTTCTACTCTTTGTTTACCCCTCGTTAGATCTCTGTTCCTGCAGAAGCTGTTAAGGAGACATAACGTCACGTTTCTCTCCAAATCTTACTTCAACATCTCTTCTTTCTCCCTTTCATCACGTTCACTCATCCTGGAGATTCTCTTTACGGCGGTGGTCACTGCATTCCGATGAGTTGCAAAATCTCGCTTGAAAGCTCCTGCTCCAATGTCCAGCTGATAGGTACTGTACACTCTGCCGTGCTTCGACATATGCTCTTTGGCATATGCGTATAACCATGCAGTCATGTTGGCTCTAAATCATGGCATCAGTCGTCTTCTTGCCCATATTTTTTTCAATTCCATCAGAATGTTCAGAATCTTGCACATTGTCTCAAAAAGATCTAAATCTTTTAGACAATCCAATTTCTGCAATTGTTCTCTCGTTGGTGCCTCCTGTCTATTGTTCTCCTTCACATGAGCTTTCAGCCATCGTATCTCCATCATAACTCCCACTATCACTATCGTTATGGGCCGTGATGAGTCTGGTAAACCCATGGAGAGCAGCTCTCCAGAGTCACAGATCAACACCAGATTACTACGCCCGGGATACCACCATGTTTACAGCAAGCAATGGCAGGGAAACTCATCATGTGTTAACATGATGCTCCTCCAATTACGCTTTCCCGAAGCTTCCAATAGTGGTTCCACTTCCATCATCACTCGGTGGACTTCATCATTCTCATCTACTGTGTTGTAATCCGTAACGGTTGATCCTCTCTGTTTTTGTCTCTCAAAGTCACTGAAGTTCCCACTGACGTATCCCATGAACTTCTTTCCCAGTATCGATTCCAACTCCTCCTTAGTTCTCTCTGGAACTGCTGAGAACATTTTGCACAGTAACTCATAAGACTTTTCCGACATTTTCGCTAGTCTTACACACTTTGGCACTGAGAAGGCCTGATCCACGATCGTTCTCGTACTTTTTACATCCACAGCTACGAAATGCGCTGGGTATCTGCTCTTGCACATTGGAGCTAATGTCGATCCCGCCAAATATCGCGCTCCCGATGGTCTGCAAAAAGTTTCACTGTGTCGGATGTTCATTTACGCCTCGATCGCTTCTCTCCGTTTTCCTATGTGCTTTTTATCAGTCTGCAAAACTCCTGGGAACACTTCTACACTGATGGCCGTGACCATTTCATGTTTCTGTTCTAGATTCAATAGTGACTCTAAAGAACCAAACATGCTGTAGAAACCTAGTACAGTCACTAGATTCACCTCGGTTCCTCCATGGCAATCTGCGATCAGCTCCGTTTCCGTTTTAGCTTTCATCACAACGTTCCCAAATATTATTGTTAACTGCTTGTGTTGTTTCTCCAGGGTTTTCACGCAATATAGGCCTCCACAAACGTGACCTTCTAGTCCACAGACTTCTACCAGGGTTTAATCCAGTCCTCTGGTCCCCAGCCACGCAACTCTACTTTGTCTTCTCCGTTGTTCCTAGAGGCTGTTGTCATCACGTTATTGATGATATTAAGATCACGCAGATTACAGTCTGAATTTGGTTCCCTCTGTACATCTTGTGTTGCAAGTAGTATCGAATCAGCGTTGGGACTAGGACACCATGAGGGTCTCATCAGTTCCCATACCACCATCAAGCTCGTTCTCAGTAATTCATCTGAGAATCCCAATCCAAACTCTACTCGTTTGTCGGATTCTGGCACGGAAGGTGCAGTCACCTTTTCCTCCAAGACCAGTCCCAGCCTTCTTATCCTTGCAATTCTAGACGTCCAGAATCTTAGCAACAATGCTTGCTCGTAAACAAAGAAGCAATCGCGTATGTCTTCCTTCAAGAATGGATTCTACGCTACCCCTATGATTCCTGACACGTAACTGTAGGACTTCTTCCTGATCGGTCCACAGTATTCACTGGAATTTGGCATTGCTCCCATAGATTCCTTAGTGAGCCTCAGCTCTTTGTTTGAGAATTTCCTGATTTCATCCATTTTCTTCATGGGTTCTAGCTCCACAGGTTCTTTCATGTTCACCCTCATTGGTTTACTTTGATGCTCGTCTAGCAGTGCTAACAAGAGTAAGGCTTTCGCTCGTTCATCGCCTTCTCTCAGTATCTTGACACAGGTGTTCAAGGCTGGCACTGACATTTGCTCTATCATGAACCGAATGAAACAGAGAGCGTCTCTCCATTTCGCGCACGCTACTGCCATTCCCTCTTGGATTATCAGATCTCTCATGCTCGTCATCGGGAATACTTTGTCTTCTTTTGATCTTTTCCTCTCTTCTGAATCATATTCCCCGCGAGTCAGTCCGATCATGCACCAGGCGAACCGCAGCTGTAATTCAGTTCTCACGTAAGGTACTGCTATCAGAGCGTGTATCTTCGGTGTGGTCCTCATTTCTTCTTCGAAATACCGTAACACTACTGCTTTCCATGGAAGGCTCACCAACTGCTCAATCGTCTCTGCCTGCATCTCAGACGATGCTAGAGTCCCATATGCTTTCTGCTTGAGGGCGGTGCCTTGCATCACGGTCTTCAGATAACCCTCCATGGCACTTTTGTCTTCCAGAGCCATTAAGTATCCTCTGGCCGAGTTTCTGTACTCCAACATCTCCATGTACCCACCGGCGGGTTCTTCTATTGATACACTCTCCCACAGTGTCAGTCGGTTATATTCCACTGGGACTAGTTGTCCTACGACA